ACGGATTCCTTCTCCTATTCGCCTAAATATACGCCCATCACTCCACACAGAAAGAACCACCCCACTGCCCCTCCCCCACCGAAGCTCACGGTCACGGCTGCAGCAACAAAAAACCTAAAAATAATCTAAACCTCAGTGTTTCTCGTGTAAAGCCCAAAGCCCCAGCAGGGCTCAGGCTCGATTTCTGCTGTCGCCACTAGCCGACCCCACTGCTTTTCCACCAGGCGAAAAGACGAAACTCCGCCTCTTCGAGAGTCAGTCTCTGCGCAGCCGCACAGCGTCCCGCAAAGTCAACCAATCCAAAGGCGGCTGAAAGCCCTCAAACAGCCAATCACCACGCACTGCAACCGCCCCAAACTCCGGGTGTATAATTTGGTCAGCCTATGAAAACAGGCAGGGGTTGTTGCCAGGAGGAAACGCTGTTCCACTGGGGACCGCTGCCACTGATCATCTGGGTTGAATCGCGGAGTTAGCCAATCATAAATGGCCTTCAGGTTCTTGTACCCAATCAGGATTAAAAGAGGCGAGCACCCAGAAATGGGCTAGTGGAGTAGGTGGGTTGGGGCTGGGAGGTTTTCATAGGAAATCTAAAGAAAGTGGGGTCCGAGTTTTCTTTGGGTGAATAGCCCGTTAGCCTGAGGTAAAAAATGGTAATGGGGGCTCTTTGGGGAGGTTGCGGAGTCCAAGAGCCCAATTTGCCCAAAATAGTCTCGGTTTTTAAAACAAAAGGCTTACGTGGGTGGAACCCCTTCAGCAGCCGGCGAGCATCCCAGTACCTGAAAAAAGCAGTTCTCGCGAGAGACGGAGCCTCGGGGGTCCTTAGAGCAGAGCCGAGGGAGGGTCTGTTCTTAAAAGTCATTACGAGGTAGTTCTCTACGGAGCGGGGATTCGGAGGTTATTAGGAACAGCTCTTGGGGCAGAAAGGGGGAGTCTGGGAATCATTAGAGGCTCTCGTGAACTGCAAGGCATTCCTAGAAGTTGTTAGGAGCAGTTCTTGAGGGGTAGTGAGTCGCCCTAGGGAGTTCACTTTGTCGAGGGATAGGGAAGGAGGCATTATAGGATACTCATGTGTCAAACAAATGTTAATAACCAAAGCAGAGACTTCAGAAAATGTGCAGACTTAACCGTGGCTGAGTGATAGCGTAGTGTCCCGGGAAGAGCTATCTGAAAACCGGTTTCGCCAGATGCGGTGGCGCACTCCTGTTATCCTAGCACTCCTCAGGAGGCTGAGGCAGGAGGATCGCTGCAAGTTCGAAGCCAGCCTGGACTGCATAATGAGTTCCAATACAGGCTGGACTACATAGCAAGACGCTGTTTTTAAAAAAAAAAAAAAAATAGCTGGGCTGGGGATTTAGCTCAGTGGCATAAGCGCCTGCCTTGCAAGCAGGCAGGCTTGAGTTTGATCCCTGGTACCGATAAAAAAAAAAAAAAAAAAAAAAAAAGGTGGACATGGTATTGCAAGCTTGTAATCGTAACACTCAGGTGGCTGAGGCAAGAGGATTGCTGCGGGTTTGAGACTAGACTGAACTGCATAGAGAAACCTTGTCTCAAAAAGACCAAAAAAGGGGCTGGGGATTTAGCTCAGTGGCCTAAGTGCCTGCCTGGCAAGCGTGAAGTAGTGAGTTTGATCCCTGCCACTGGTACAATGGCACACCCCTGTAATCTCTGCACTTGAGGCAAAAGGATCTTGGTGAGTTCAAGGACAACCTACACAATGCCAGGACTTGGGAGGCTAAAACAGGAGGATCACCATGAGTTTGAAGCCAGCTTAAACTGCCTTGTGAGATTTATCTCAGCCCCTGAATAAAACCTTTTTTAAAAAATTTTAAAAAGTAAGCCGAGGGCTGGGGATTTAGCTCAGCGGCATAAGCACCTGCCTTGCAAGCAGGCAGTCGTGAGTTTGATCCCCGGTACCGATAAAAAGGAAAAAGACAAAAAAAATAAGCCAGGCGTGGTGGCTCACGCCTGTAATCCCAGCACTTGGGAGGCTGAGGTGGGAAGATTGTTTCGAGTTCGAGACCATCCTGGGCTACAAAGTGAGCTCAAGGCCAGCCTGAATAGCGAGACCCTGTCTCAAAAAAAAAATTTTTTTTAAGTAAAATGCTGTGTACTTATTCAGCTGTTACAATATTACAGATGTTAGACTAGGCATGGCAGCACACACCTGTTATCCCTGAGGCAGGAAGACTGCTGCAAGTTTGAGGCCAGCTTGAGCTATGTAGTGCATTCAACCCAAACTAGAACCACATAGTGAGATTATCTCAAAAAAGCAAGAAAGTGCAAATGTTGCAAAATTGTGCTAAATGCTTTATATACACAAGAATTATTTACACTTACATATATATTGTCCTTTTTTTTAAATCTTTTTTTGATTCTAGGAACTGAACCCACAGGCTTCACACTGGGGTAAATCCCTGGTCGGTTTGTTTGTTTGGTTGGTTGGTTTTGGGTTTTGTTTTGTTTTGTTTTGTTTTGTTTTGGGGGGGGGTTGAGACAGGGTCTTTTGCTATGTAATTCAGGCAGGCCTTGAACTCACTTTGTAGCCCAGGCTGACCTCCAGTTCACAGAGATCCTCCTGCCTCAGCCTCCTGAGTGCTGGGATTATGGGCATGCACCATTCCATCCAGCCCTTTTCAGTTTTTGGACAGAATCTCCATAAATTACTCAGGCTGTGCTTGAATTTGTGATCCTCTTCCTCAGCCTCCCAAAGTGCGGGGATTATAGGCATGACACTACACCTAGTTAACAGTTTCCTGTTTGTTTGTTTGTTTGGTACCAGGGATCAACCTCACAACCTAGCACTTGCCAGGCAGGTACTTATACCACTGAGCTAAATCCCCCCTAACATTTTCCTTTTTAAGGATATCATTTAGTAACTTTTACAAGCATTTCTGAGAGATGGGTATGGTGGTGTATGCCTATAATCCCAGCACTCAGGAGGCTGAGGCAAGAGGATTGTTGCAAGTTGAAAACCAGCCTAGGCTACAAAGTGAGCTCAAGACCAGCCTAAACTGCTTAGCAAGACCCTGTCTTCAAAACCCAAATATATACTTTTTTTGTTTGTTTGTTTTGTTTTTGGTACGGAGGATTGAACTCACGACCTCATGCTTAGCAGGCAAGCGCTTGAGCCACTTAGCTAAATCCCTGGCCCCTATAGTCTATATATATATATATATATATATATATATATATATCACTGTATATTTTTTTTTCCACTGAGATTTACCCAATCCAGTTTTGGAACATTTCCATCACCTCAGTAAAATTCACCGCTTCATGCCTAGTGATAGTTCATCTCTGTTTCTATCCCCAATCCCAGGTAACATTAATCTGACTTGTATAGCTGGAGATTTAGCTCAGTGGTGTAAGTGGCTACCTGCCAAGCACAAGGCCTTGAGTGCGATCCCCAGTACAAAAAAAAAAAAAAATCTGACTTGTATAGATTTGCCTTTTCTGAACATTTTATATAAATAGAGCCATGGAATATGAGGCATTCTGTATCTGGCTTTTTTAGAGCATTTTTCTTTTTTTTTTTTTTTTTTTTTTGAGATTAACCCATATTGCAGCATACATTAGTGTTTCCTTTTTATTGTTGAACTGTATCCCATTGTAACACCGATTAACATTTGGATTGCTTCCACTTTTTGGCTGTTGTTGAATAGGGCTGCTATGCACATTTACATACAAGTCTTGTATAGATACATGTTTCTACTTCTCAGGAGTAGATAACTAGGCATAGAATAATTGCTGGGTTGTATAGTAAGTTTATACTTACCTTTTTAAGAAACTGCCAGGACTGTTTTGTAGCGTGGCTGTACAGTTTACACCCCCATCAGCAATATATGAAGATTTGCATTTCTCCACACCCTTGCCAGATTGTCTGTCTTTTTTATTGTATCCATTCTAGTGGGCGTGAAGTAGTATCTCATTGTGGTCTTAATTTGCATTTCCCTAATGACTAATGATGCTGACAATCTTTTTATGTCCTTATTAGCCATTCATATATCTGGTTTGGGAAATGTCTATTCTGATCTTTTGTCTGTTTTTTAATTGAGTGGTTTGAATTATTATTATTGGGTTGCAAGAGTTCTTTCTATATTCTGGATACAAGCCTTTATCAGATACAGGCTTTATGTATAAATATTTTGCCTCATATTGTGGCTTGTCTTTTCTGTTTCTTTACACTGTCTTTCGGAGCACAAGAGTTGTTAATTTCGATACAATTTATCAACATTTTATGAATTGTGCTTTTTGGTGCTTTGACTTTTTTTTTTTTTTTTTTTTTTTTTTTTGGTGCTTTGACTTTAACATGAGCATAGTTCTAATCTGCTTCCAAAATAATACCCAGAACTCAAGATTTCTCTCCACTTCTGCTGCCTCTGCATGGCCCACATCTGTACCCTGAACAGGATAAACTCTCAACCTGATTGTCAGCCCTGTCCTTGCCCCCTGTAGTGTCTCCAGGCAGCAGACAGAGTGACTCCTATCAGAACTCAGATCCTATTACTCCTAGTCTTAAAGCTAGCAAGGCTTCCCAGCTCACTTTGGAGAGAAGCCAAGTCCTTCCACCTAGGACATCTCACCCTGCACCTCTCCCCCAGGGCCCACCTCCGACTGTCCTGCTCCTCAGGGCCTGGCTGAGATGTCTCTTCTTTAGGGAAGCCAGTCCCAAGGATCACTGTGTGCTGCTTTATTGCTCTGTTCTCCTGCCTGTTGTCATGTCTGCTCTTTTGAGAGTTTGCTCCAAGGGGAGTCTCTTGGTGACTACTGTCCTTAGCCCTTAGACAGCCCTGGCTCTTTATGTACACCTACTACTTGTTGAGTGAGTGAATGATAATCTTTAATTTCACCCACATAATGAATGTCTGAAGCTGGCATTATTACCCCATTTAGAGCTGAGGAAATTAAGGTACAAAGAAGTAAAGTCTCTTGAAATGAGAATATTTGTAGAATAAAGTGTGAAGGACAAACAGGACGAATAACGGAAAGGAAGGACCCTAGTGCTGGCTGTAGCAACACATATACTAAAATTGAAATGATACAGAGAGGATTAGCATGGCCCCTGTGCAAGGACAACAAGGAAATTTGTGAAGCTTTCCGTATTTTTATTTAAAAAAAGAAAAGGAAAGGAAGGACTCTATATACTAATGGTACCTTTGGCCTTCACCTCTGGGTCAGTTATACCCAATGTCTGCCTGCAGCCCAAGCTGCTGCAAAGGAATACTCTTCCCAGGTATTGTGAGAGACTTTAGTCAAAGTTCTGCCAAGAAAAAAATCCTAAGGGGCTGGGGATTTAGCTTGGCAGCATAAGCGCCTGCCTTACAAGTGCGCAGTCGTGAGTTTGATCCCTGGTCCCCACAAAAACGAAAAAGACAAAAAAAAAAAAAAAAAAAATCCCAGAAGGCAATCCACTCTTTTTTTTTTTTTTTTTGTACCAAGGATTGAATTCACAACTCGCATTTGCCAAGCAGGCACTTATGCCACTGAGCTAAGCTAAACCCTGCACCCCCCTTTTTGTACCAAGAATCAAACTCAGGACCTTGCACTTGCTAGGCAGGCGCATATGCCTCTGAGCCATATGCCTCATAGCCACAGCCATTGGAAAGTAATCCAGCAACTCCTAGCTAGGCCCTGTCCTGCTCAGGTGAAGTCCGTGGGAAGGATTGCCTGGCCAGTACATCCTTGTAAGAAAGAACTCTGCCTTGTGGGCAAGGTTAGTTGGAAAGATCAAGCATTGTCTCTATGAAATAAAGAAATGCAAATATAAAAATGCTTAGAGTAGGGACTGGGGATTTAGCTCCGCGGCATAAGCACCTGTCTTGCAAGCAGGCAGTCGTGAGTTGGATCCCTGGTACCAATAAAAATGAAAAAGACAAAAAAAAAAAAAAAAAAAAAACAATGCTTAGAGTCAGACACACACATCTACTAATACACTGAGTTCCAATGTTCAACAAAAATATCATCTGACTTCCAAGCTCTCATTTGTTCTCTGTGTTCCATAGAGAATGGCCCAGTATACCTGGCAGAGGCACATGAAGCCTTGCTGAGAAATTTTTAAAATTTAAAGAAAGGAATGAAGTTGTGGCTCAGTAGAACACTTGCCTAGCACATGTAAGGAAGGCCCTGGATTCAGTCCGGGTCCCCAGAAGGGAGGGTAGGAGGATCACAAGTGCTTAATGATGCTAAGGTGTTCTAGCATATAGTAGGTATAGACTCTGTAAATGGGGGTAACTGCAGGGACTACCCTGAAAACATGCCAAAGAGGAGGTAAAAGAGGGCTGGCCACGTTCAAAGGTCTAGGACACAGGTCTTTGGGGAAGACTGAGGAGTCCTCCACTTAAAGTTCATTCAGCCCTGTGTGGTGATGCATGCCTGTATTCCCAGCACTTGGGAGGCTGAGGCAGAAGTGCCAGGATTTCAAGACCACCTGGACTATATAATGAGTTCAAAGGTAGCCTGAACTACATAGCAAGACCCTGTCTCCAAAACAAAACAAAAAAATAAAATAAAGCAATTAAAGTTTACTTCAGGCCCAGAGTAATCATTTACTTAATACATGTCCGCGCCGGAAGCCTCCATTTGATCCATTCCTACCTGTTAGTGTGGAGGACTGGGAGGAAAAAGCAGCTCAGGAGAAACAGAACCACGGTGGCTGGCGGTGCAGGTCTCTTTTTTGCTGAAGTGACAGGGCTGAGATTCCCTGCTGCAGCCACCAGGCTGGGAGTTCAAAGTGGGCATAAAGAGGACCTCTGAGGAGCGAGGAGTGGGGACTCTGAGGACTGAGTTCCAGCCCTAGTTTCTTCTAACATTTATTTTTCACCTTAGAACCAAATCAGTCTCCTCTTTCATCTCCCTGGAAACATCTGGAATTGAGACTCCCTCCCTCCTGCTCCCTGCTCATTCGCAGGGAGGCTAGTGAGCGAGTTCCTGGTCCTCAGCTCCACAGTCCAGGGGAGGAAACAGGTGAACTGAACCCTAATGACTCCAACTCGATTGCATTTCTTAAAGTTCCATTCCTTTTTTTTTTTTTTTTTTGTCTTTTTCTTTTTTATCGGTACCAGGGATCGAACTCACGACTGCCTGCTTGCAAGGCAGGCGCTTATGCCGTGGAGCTAAATCCCCAGTCCCTTGATTGCATTTCTGCATTACAACCTGGATACTTCCCCTGTTGTTCTTCCTGTGCTACTGTTTGAACAGCTGAAGAAGTAAGAATAATAATTTCAACACAGGGCTGTGGCTGCTGGACTATAGCACAGCTACACAGGCGAAGGGCGGGGAAGGCAGGGACAGACGAGGGGTCCCTAAAGCACTTCAGTTTGGTGAGATGTGCCAAGAAGGCTATCAAGGCAGAGAAAATAACACCCACATCTGTAGCACATCTGTAGCCTGTTTTTCTCTCTGACATAGACTTATTAAAAAAAAAAAAAAAAAAAAGTAAATGCCAGGAGCAGAATATTAGAACATTTGTTTAAAATAGGGAACCCCAGGTCAGGGATGTAGCTCAGTGCGCAGGCAGTGCTTGCCTGTCAAATGCAAGGTCTGAAGTTAGATTTCTTGTACAAAAAAAGGAAACACACCTGGAGGAAAAATCACTGCTAATATTTTACTACATATCTTTGAAGTGCTCGTTTCCTGTTTTCTGTTTGTTTGTATGTTTGTGTTTGAGACAGGGTCTCTCTGTAGTTCAAAATGGCCTTGAACTCACTGTGTAACCCAGGTTGGCCTTAAACTCAGCAAATCCTCCTATTTCAGCCTCCCCAGTGCTAGGATTACAGGCATACATCACCCTGCCCAGTTTTTTGTTTTGCTTTGTTTATTTGAGATAGGGTTTCATCATATAGTGCAGGCTGGCCTTGAACTCACTATGTGGCCTAGCCTTACCTTGAACTAAGGGTGATCTTCCTGCTTCAGCCTCCCAAATGCTGGGATTACAGGAGTGCACCACCACACCTGGCTAAAGCTTCTCTATTACTAGTGCTCATACAAATGCTGGGCATGGTGGGCCAAAGCTACAATCCCAGCATTTGATAGCCTGAGGCAGGAGTTCAAGGCCAGCCTGAGGTACATTGTGAGTTCAAGATCCAGGGTATACTACGGAGGGGACCCTGTCAGAAAAATAAGTAACACTCTCATGCTCCTACTGTTGTAAGTTCTGACTTAGCCATTTGAAGTGGGGACCAAGATTCTGCACTTAGGAGCTCCAGGCAATATGAATACATATATGTCTGTCTGATTTGAGATGTTGGCAACTTTTCACTAAAATGAATGATGTAGCAGTAAATCCTTGCTAATACATTTTAAAATTGTCTAGCAGTTTGTTTTATGTAAATTTCTAAATGTGTTTTACAGAGTTAACAATAAGCTATATTTTAAGGCTGTTGATAGACACTGCGAACTTTCTTCCAAAAAGGTAGACCAGTTTATATTTCCACCACAAATATGAGTGCCCAATTCCCTACATCAATACTGATAAAAATAATTTTTGTCCATTTGATAGTCAAACAATAGTACCTTATTTTTGTTTCAATTTCCATTTCTTTGATTGCTAGTGAGACTTTCATACTTCCCTGGAATTTACACATTTTTTTAATTGCCTATTTGTGTCGGTGCCTATTTTTCTATTAGACATTTATTTTTTCACTTTTTCTTTTTAAGAGTCATTATTGTAGTCAAGGCTGGCCTTGAACTCATGCAGTCTTCATGACTCAGCCTCCTAATTGCTGGGATTACTGGCATAGGCCATGGGTTTAGGATGTTTACTTTTGTTTTTAGTGATTTGAAAGCAGCTTTATCTATTTGGGATTTACAAATATTTAGCCTGATAAAGTTAAGAAAGCACAAATAGAGTCTGGCCCTACTTGGTTGAAGGATTTCAAATTCAAGGCTGACCTGAGCAAATTAGTTGGACCTGGTCTCAAAAAATAAAAACTGCTGGAAATGTAGTTCAGTATGAAGGCCCTGGGTTCATTCTTCAGTACACACACACACACCGACAAAATGGGGGAAAAAGGGGAAAGAGAGAGGAGAAGGAAGGAAGGAAGGAAGGAAGGAAGGAAGGGAGGGAGGAAGGGAGAAAGGGAGGGAGGGAGAAAGGGAAAGAAAAGACTGCTTAGGGGCTGGTGGGTGAAGGGTCTGAAGTGCCAGTCTGAACTTCCTTGGGGATCATTTTGAGATAACAGGCATCTTTGCATAGTATTATAACTCTCAAGAGGTCGGATCCCAGGCTTAATCTACAGCCCAGCGGAGGAAGCCTTCGGCTCGCTTCAAGCTGTGTCTCCCCATTTACACCGAGGCTTGGGGCTACCTTCCATCTAGGCGTGGGGGGGAGGGGAAGCAGAGGCCACACCTCCATCTACTTGGCCACGTCCTCCTTGCACTGTGGCCTGCCCTGGGGCGAGTTCTTCCCAGCACTCTCTGCTTCTGTCCTAGCCCTACAAGACCCACCTGGTGCACTGAAAGGAACGAAGCCAGGCCAGGCAGTCATGACCCACCTGCTGGCCTCGGAACTACAGCACCTGACCCACAAAACTGTGTCATCCTGGGGGACTCCGTGCACCACAGCACCCGCTACCATGAGGGGCATCAGCTCTGCTCCCCCGCTGCCTGGAGCACTTGAGCTTCCTCACTTTCTGTACTCTGAGTACAGAGGCGGTCCTGAAGGAGCTGCGGGCTGGTGAGCACACCCCCACACACGTGGGCAACACACATTCCAGCCTCTGGGCTGGCTCCAGGATGCACAAACTCCCAGAGGAGGTATCCGCACGCCTGGAGCCTCCTCTGAGTGCCTGGGCCAGGTGCTGCCTGCATCTTGCCTCTTGGTGTGGAACAAGGCTGTGCCTGTGGCAATAAAATTGCTGTGAGCTTCCTCCTTCACCGCGCTGACCCTGGATGGTCTCCCTGGAATGCTTCATCATCCAAGTCACCTTTTACAGCTCTACTGAGGCTGTCAGCCATGGCTTAAATATGTTGGACTAGCATTTCCACTTCTGTCACTCTGTGGGGAGCCGGTAGATAGCTGGGGTGCACTAGAATGAGCACACCCACAGCCAGCTCTCCCGCCTGCTCCTGGCCCACGTGGCCAGTGCTTGGGGCATGGAGCGGCCCCTC